ATCCTGGTCTAGGATGCTCAGAGTTTCCCAGTTGAAACTACGGTTGAGTCTGTCCATGTGTTGTGAGATTAAGGAGTTTTCATTGAATGTTGTGACTGCTAGTTGGTGTTCTTGGATGCATTCTGCTAGTCTTCTGCCTGCCTGTCCTACAGAGTGGCTGTTACAGTCTTATACTATACGTTGTAGATGACTCCTGTTTTTTTTTTCTTTTTGGGCTACTGGGTCTTTTGGTTTACTTAAGATGTTTAGGAGGGGTTTAGTTGGTTTGTGTGCTACAGTGATGCTGTGTGGTTGTAATAGTCTGTTGGTAGTTTCTGAGACGTTTCTGATGTATGGCAGTGTTATCCTTTTCATAGCTTGTGTTGGTTGTGCTCTAGTGGGTTGAGTGGTCAGACATTTTTTGATAAAGTTGTGTGGGTATCCATTTTTTTGGAAGATGTTGTATAGGTGATCTGTTTCCTTTTTCTGGTGTTCTGGGTTGCTGAAGTGCATTTGTGCTCATCCGAATAAGATGATATTACCTAGTTGGGTAATGAAACGTCTGCAATCAAACAACCAAGCTCAGAGAGCACCAAGGGCTCCACTAAAAAATAAGTACTGAGAAGAATCAAAACTCTGCCATTGCTCCTACCTTTGATTTTTATATTATTATTATTATTATTATTATTATTATTATTATTATTATTATTATTATTTTGGTATACTGTACATATAATGGCCCATGCATGAATTTCTGAATTGCTTTCCATGGAATAGCAATTGCTTGCCACCAAGGATGGTTTAAAAACAGATCTTGTCTTTTATAATAAAAAAATGAACTAGGAACTTCCTTCCTCAATCATTGTTATGTTCATTCGTTAGCTGAAAATGCTGAAAGATAGGACCCTTTTCATACAGTACCTATAGTTAGAATACCAATTGCACATTTTGCCTTCTACCATATTTTTTAAGATCATCTTCCTTTCTTTTCAATGAAAAGTGAGAATCTGAAATTATGGCTCATGTGGGGCAGTTCTTTCCTCCTTCTTCCCAGGGGGCCATGATAATAAGTCTGGAGAATGATATGAAGAAATAGAATTAGTCTAATCCTGTACTCAAGCAGATTCTCTACACTAGTGCAAGGTATCTCTAGAAGCATTAGTCTTGTGAGATAGTCGAGACAAGAAGCAGAACCAGAAGTACTAGCTGTATCTTTATTGTTAGGTTACATTAACAGAATCTTGCAAGACTGAAAGTATTTCTCCACTCCTTTCCTTTTACTGTCCAGAAAACTAGGGAGGATCCCTTCTGAAACATTTCCCTTGCTCTCCCCCCTTCTGTGGGCTGAGACATCTTTTACATGCTGGTTGTTCAGTCTGTGGTTCTCCCTCCTGTCTCCCAAGGTCATTCCCACATACCATTACAAGAAGTGAGCCTTGAGGCCACCAAAGTAGGGCCCTCTGAAAGAAAGATCTGCATGGGCTTCCTAAATTGCTGGAATGAAGTCAGAAATGAAATGAAATGAAATGAAATGAAATGAAATGAAATGAAATGAAATGAAGGTGACAGTGCAAAGATGAAGGGTAGGATAATGACATTGATAAAATGGGAAGGTGTGGAATGATTTGGCACTTGGTGTTTATCTTTTGAAAAGATGGCGGTGCTTTCATCTCCATGTCACTTTTCTAACAGAGTAACCTAAAAATCCCTTGGGCTATAGAGTTTCATTTGAAAATGTTCTTCAGTACCATTCTTCTCAAAGTTTACATTAAAGCTTGAATGATTCCACAAATTCTGAGACTAAGATTAAATAGGTACAATGGGCTCATGTCAGTTTGGGGGCCTTCCATTTGTTAAGATATAGAGCATGTACACTGTGCAACAAAGGTGTAGTAAACTCATGGCAAAAAGGCAGTCTCACTAGAGACTCACTAAGACAGTCATTTGGAACTTGTACAGAATTTGCTGTGTCTAAGTTGGACCCTGATGCTGGTTAAATTCTCATTTCACAACATGCTGAACAGCCTTAGTGCCCCAGGAAGAAAAACACAAAGAAATAATATTAGCACTGGAGCTGCATTCATTCTGCTTTCCAAATTAACCCTTTTAGTGGATTTACATAATTTATTTATGTATTCATATTTATAATTTCAGTTTAGAAAGCCACCAACTCAACACTGACTCTAGGTGGTGTACTGTTATTGTTTAAAGGTTTGCAGAGTCATGGTAGTCTGAACCTCAGATGTGAGGAAAATACTATTCCAAAAATCACAACAGAGAAGATGCACTTCCTAGGCCCGTCAGACAAAATTGCTTAATGAATGGGATAGGAAGACCTGTTGGATTTATGGGGTGGCCAGAAACAATCGGAGAGAGGCAATCTGTCAGATAGCCAGTCCCTATGCCAAGAAAGACTTTATAGGTAATAGCCAGCACTTTGAATTGGACCCAGAAGCTCACTGATAACTCACTGATGAATCATAAACTTTCAAAAGAGGCTGAGCTTACATAACACGCTAAGCCAGAAAAAAAATCTAATCAAGTATAACACAAAACTACCTTAAGGCAGCTGCTAGGTTTTTATTTGACTTAGTTAATCAGATTCTGTGAACATGGCTAGACAGATGTGGTGAAGGTATTTAAGAAAACTTACATAACTTCACCTTGATTCCCTGGACCATATTAGTGGTAAAAATGATGAACACAAGGGTGCCTGTTTCTCTTTTATTGACAATACAGGAGGATAGTTGTTAGGATGAGACCTGAGTTGTTACTCTAGCAACATCTTGCTGCTAGAAGGAAGTTTGCTTCAGAACAATCTAGCCTAAGTTATAATTAACACTGTGGTATCTTCATCAAGTCTTGCTTATCTCTGAGATAAATCAGTGGTATTTAAGTTAAGAACAGTTAATTTGCTTACTTTCAGTCAGACAACTACATCTTTTATGAATGGTCTGCAGAGGCAGTGTAGAATCAATCTTCATAACAGTGTTTAGGTACCAGCTGTCCACACCTGTGCTATAGCTGAGGCACAGATAAATGTAGCCTTGTTGGGAGTGATCTCCTGGAATGTGTCTAGTGGAATGATGCCTGGTTGTTAGAAGGTTAGCCAGCTTCAACATCGAATAAGCTATAGAGTTATGCAGGAAACCTTTTTCCCTCCATAGTTACGAACACACGATTCTATTCTCAGGAGAGAGAGGGGATAAGAAAAGATGTGATCATGAAATGGTATTCCTAATACTCGTATTCAGGTGACCTAAGATTTTCTGCTCTGACCTCTGCTTTGGGAATTTTTCGAGGCACCATCTAATCAAAGTTGTGAAGTTTGAACTGCATCGATTTCAGGTGAAAATATAATGTGTGTTTCATTCATTTCTGGAGAAATCAGTAAGACTTTTTTTTAAAGCCTGACATTGGTTGTGTTGTGTTGTAAAGAAATTATGTATAGATAGATCAGGTTCTTTGCCTTCCTCTCCCCATCCATAAAGTAACTTGTCTGAGCTAGTCTACTTGCTAGAAGGAACATATGCAGGGAGTTTACTACTTAGTAGTTCAGCAGTATAATTAAGACATAAACTGTATTAATTTTAAAACTAATGTCTGCCTGCATGTGAGAGAGAGTGCCATGATTTAAAAGTACACTGTATAATGCAAACCAAACTACTGAACCCTGCCTTGAGATTTAGAAAAAAAACTTAGACATATGCATTCAAAATGGATTTACAGAAAGGGAGTTAATGCTTTCTGCGAAGACCACACTGTTACAGCCACACCTCAAATATCAGAGATATTTAATTTGTTAAAACCCTGCAGCATAAGTTTTATAGCAAACGTTCTTTTTTTCTCATCATGCTGAAGGGCAGGATTTTTACTCCCCTTTTCCCAACAACTTCACTGGAGAAAAAAGAACAATTAATGATCCAATCAGTTGTCTGTCATGCTTTTGGTAAAAACAGGGTATGTTTTTGTGTTTTAAATCTGGAAGTTCTTTTTGTTTAATTTGGGAGTACATTCATACCAGAGTCTGTCTGTCTGTCTGTCTTATTTATTTATCAATTCATACTTTGAGCTACTCATCAGATCTCCAGAAAACTCCCCGAGACCCTCTGAAAACCCAAGGGATCCATTAGGTGCATGGACAGGCCTCTCTAATAGGTCATTCCCCCCTGCAGAAAGAAATGCCACTTCAGTCAACCACGGTCTGTCCATGACAAGGGGAAAAGTTCAGTCTCCCCCATGTTGTATCTGTCCCAGAACAAAGATCAGATCTAGTGTGTACCCTCAGTAAACTGGGTCAGGTCCATGGTTGCCGTAGTTGCCATGAACTCCTGGGCTACTCCAGACCCTTCATCAAGGAAGGCAACTTAAGGTCTCCAAGCACTACCAGATGGTGGAAATTTACCACCACCCCAGCATTAATGTTAAGCATCCCTGGCAAGGATGCCACAGTGTGACAGGAGGACCAATCCGCAAGCAGCAAACCCGTCTGATCCTTTGAACTAGGAAGCATGAGCAACATCATGCTCTTGATGCCAGCAGATGACATCATGGATGACAACAGTTGCCCCCCTCCCCTCCCCCTGGGATTGTGACTGATGTCAAACCCAAAACTTGGGTGGGCAGATCTCCAAAAGAGGAACTCTTCTCTCTTCTCTCTTCTCTCTTCTCTCTTCTCTCTCCCAGGTTTTGATGGGCAAGCCAGGTCTGCCATCTCATCCACAGTTAAATTGGGACCCTGCCTCTCAGGATAAGGAGAGAGACTTCCCAGTGCTATTGTGCTTTTAATTAAAAGTTTCCTCCTCAGGAAATAACAACTTCCTTTGTCTCTAATTGCTTCTTGTTCAGAACAACTTGGCATTAACTAATGAATTCCTTCAAGCATTCTTTTCCTATAAAAATAGGGACTTTTTTGTACCAGTTTCTTATTGTGCACTAACAATGATTTAAGAGTAATATGCATAAGAAAGCATTCTAAATGTGACTTTTCCCCTGCAATAACAGTTAATCTTTCTTTTCTTTTCAGATAAATTATCAAGATAATATGGTGTATCTGGGAGAATGCAGATGGACTCATATGTTCCCTTTTCTCATCGTAGGTATTTTGAATACATAAGCTGCAGGTCTAGCCATTAACTGTAGCAAATTGAAAGTAAAGAAGTGTTCATTAGTGCTTTATTAACCAGAACCAAAATTATCCATGTAGCTACTTCAGAGCAATTCATTTTAAAAATACCTTTTTTACTTTTAAAAAAGTCAAACCCATAAATGTCATTAATATTGTTGAATCTCAAGGGGTTAGGTTAATCTGATTGACAAAGCACATGTAATGTTTATTATTTTCACAAGATTCAAGGTTTATGTTGGATAGAGATGGAGAAAGAAGAGAGCAGAATTACCTGCCAGCTCAAGTAGTTTTCATTCTTCCAGTCTGTGAAATAAGACTAGAAAGGGATAGAAGAGATTTGTTGTCTGGGACCATGGGTTGTGCTACTGGATTATAGACTGCTGGGACAAGATAGATTGCCTCTCATAAAGACTGCAAAAAATGTTTTTGGCAGAAGCACGTCAAACTTCTCTATGGCAGGAGAGGGTAAGGGAGTAGCTACACAGGAGCTTATTAAACAACTCAGTTAAAAACCAAGAAGAACATGGATTCATAAAGTTCATGGCCTTCATTGTTTATATAAAACAAGGTTCAGAGCATGGAAAATAAACAAGGGGTGAGCTTGAACTCATTACAGGAAAGCATATCCAAATTAACAGACAAGATTCTCACGAGTATAATACAGCTCTTGAAAGATTCCATTTGTTCCAAAGGAACAGAAGCAATGAAAAGGAAGGAGGAGTTATATGTTAAAAATATGCATATCTGCTCAGAAATTCAAGTGGATGACCTTGGTTTACTGTAGAAAGCATCTGGGTTAAATTAAGTGGGAAAACAGCAAAAGCAATAGCGTTATTGGTTTACATTACTGACTACTCAGCCAAAGGGAATATCTTGTAAAGGGCCCGAAAGTAATAGAAAGTAACAGAAAGTAACAGCCTGATTGAGGATAAACGCTACCAAGTTTAGGAGGAAAGTTTCAGGAAATTTCTAACATGATCAGAAGGTTCCATCACCAATTAGCAGAAGAAACAAGGAGATCAAGTATTTTTGACCTGACCCCAACCAATAGAGAAAATACAGCAGATAAACTAGAAGTAGTAAGAAATCTTACACACTGCTGGAGAGTGTAGTCAAATGCATACCTTGGTCTTCAAGAAAGCATATTTGAATAAACTCAGAGCACTTTTAAGAGCAATTCTGTAATTCTATGATTCTCTGAACCTGGGGTAAAAGCTTAAAAGCTCCAGCTTATAAACTTTAGCTAACAGAGGGAAAAGAGATTTGGGAATTATTCAAGGCTATAGATTCTTCACTCTTACTTTGGGGATAAGTGAAGTTTCTAAAAAAAGAAACAAATGAAAATAACTTCTCAAAAGAAAATAATCAGTTTAATTTTCAAATGCTGAAAATTGCCTTACAGTCAATGCCATCTTATGTTCAATATAAGATAGGATTCAGAAAAGTTTTGGAAATAAGAGAAAACAGACTCCTTTGATCTTGAGAACAATAGCTGCAGAAAGTTAATTTTAAAGAGCAGTACTAAGAAGACACAGAGCGTTCAGTATTTTTTTGTTCATAAAAGCATTTTTGCTTTACCTCTCCACCCAAAGATAGGCAAACTTTTTGGACCAGCTTGGCAGATTTGAAATGCTGAGAGCATGAATTGGGCGCGCTCTTGAAATGATTAAAAATGAGGAGGCTTGCCTATATACAGAATGACTGCCATACTATCTGACTCAGTGTTTCTCAACCTTGGCCACTTAAAGATATGTGGACTTCAATTCCCAGAATTACCCAGCCAGCATGGCTGGCTGGGGAATTCTGGGAGTTGAAGTCCACACAACTTCAAGTGGCCAAGGTTAAGAAACACTGATCTGACCATACTCTCATGAATGATTGTTTGTAGTAAAGCTGAAAATACTGGTAAGTCAGTAAGAATAAAGCAATCTTAGGCTTCACTAAAGAACTCGTGAGTGTACTAAGAACAAACGCCATGGTGAGACCCTAACCTCTGACCTGAACGCACAGAGGACTTATAAACAACCTCCCCAAGTAACACATGAGGAATTTGGAACTGGATGCTGTAAACAGCGTTATAAAACTGCATCCTTGGTAAACCACATAAAACAATTCTGCAATCTTGTACATTACATCTAGAAGTCATACCCTTTTTGCCTCTTTTACATTTTATTATGCCCAGCAGATAACTTAACAAGATGACATTTGTGAAAGGAGATGCCCATCCTACAGAGCAGATGCTGGTCATTTTTGCATCTGTGTCTTATAAAATCTTCATAGCATCACCCAGCCATTGTTGAAGTGATACAAATCTTGTATGCGTTGTTGTTGTTATTTTGGCACAATGATGGATGGATGACTCTTACACTATAAGCCACTAATATGGACATAACCTTAGGTATCTTTTTCTAACAATATTGCCCTTTATATCCCATTTACAGACAATAAAAATACAATATATCTTCACTAGATATTATAGACATAATTTATTCAAACAAACCATTTGGGAGTTTCTTATTTCAGATCCACAGTTAGTTTGCAATAAATATAAATTTATATGTCTTTGATTAATATGCAAGGCTTTACATTCTCTTTAAAGGGACATAATTTTTATAAACAAAACTGAATGTGCTTTTTTTAAAAAAATGGATTCCATAATTACTCTTATATTTAACTTATTCTAGTTTTGAAATCTACCTTACAACCAATGAAAATCTAATTTCTACTCTTTCACTTCCATTGTTCTCAACAGATACTTTCACACATGCCTTAAATCGTAATGTCTCATATTTTAAAAAAATTTAAAAATTGAGAATTTTGAAAATGTAACTACTGTTCCAAATAACACAACCTTCATATTTCTGCCTGCCACCCAAATGAGGAATAGACATAACCTTGTTTGTAGTCCTTTCTATTCCAAGAAAATGTAGAATCATGGAAGGAACTCAAAGTCATCTGATTTAGCCCATAAAGACCAGAAGATCTATGACTGCTTCTGATGGGAGGTAGTTTGTTCAATGTCCAGTAGCCCATATAATTGGGAAGTCTGGGTGTGTATGTTTTAAGCCCAGTGATTCAGCTATCCATCATGTCTGCTTTTAGGTAAATGTTACAACCTGGCAATGGAAGTAACCAAGATTTATTTTTGATTCAGGTATCACTTGTGTATTCTGTTAATGCTGAATATTCTAATTGTGGTGAAAATGAGTATTACAATCAGACAACTGGGATGTGCCATGAGTGTCCACAGTGTGAGCCAGGAGAAGAACCTTATATGGTGAGTTTTCCACATCATTGTCATCTTCTTGAGTTCCTTTCTTCTAAAGTGCCAGTATGAAAAGTGGCATCACACAAGATAACAATATTATTAAGAAGTGCCTCCAAAATACTGTAAAACTGTATTTTTGAAAGCATTGCTCCTTCTGTCCTCATATAGCCATAGTCAGTGTATCTTCCATGCAGAGCAGAAACTAAAAGCGGCAAAGAGACATGTTCCGTAAGGAGAAAGGCCATAGCTCCTTGCTTGAGTATAGACCTCTCTCTGCAAAGTTCCCAGATTCAAGTCGAGTATCTCCAGCTAGGTACTGTATGGGGTAAGGATTCCTGCCTTTTAGCCAGAGCAGTAAACAATATCAGACTAGATACGTCTGGTCTTGTATAAGGCAATTTCTGATGTTCCCATTTGTCCAAATAAAAATAGGACGCTGTATTGAATCATATTCATGGGCCCAACAAAAATGCGCTTTTTTGAGTCGTGTTCGACAATGGCAGTGAACAATGTCATTTTTCATGCTGTGCAGGGTATCATTATTCTAAATTTCCTCACTGCCAGGAAAATAGCCTCCGCATGACTACTATGAAGTAAGAAAATAGCTGTCGTGTTCCAAACAGGATTTCAGACAAGGTTGCCGAGTCCAGCAAAGCAGGAACAGTTTCTCTCCAGTGCAATTTCAAATAATTACTTTACCTTACAAATATAATTATCCCTGACAGCACTTTTTTTAATGGGCACCATATCTTGACTGGGAGAGAATGAAAGTCTGTCCTACGTAAACCTAGTGGTAGGTAAGAGGGTCTTAGAACCCCTCTTTCAGAGCAAACAGCAGTACCAAGGCTTTGCCCTGATATTTCCTTTTTTTTTTTTCCCTCCCCCAATTCCTTGTACCTCACCGCCTTTCAGTTCTTGAATGTGAATGAGCGGGATGGATATACAGTAAGAGGGCTTTGACAGAGTCTCTTGTTGTTCACATGGAAGACTATGAGGTTTAAAATGCCCCCTGCCTGAACTTAGGTACCTGTAGTGCTGAGTTACTAGTGAATTTCTATGCCAGAACTGACAAAAAAACCCAAAAAGTTAAAGCATATTTTTAAAGACAAAAGATAATCAACATTTTGATTAAGTAAGATTAACTGTGCCTCATAAAAGCTTAGTGAAAAAGAACAAATGTTACTACCTACCAGAAACAAGAAAGAGAACGGGCCACAAACATCTTCTGGGGGGACAGAGAGGAATTCCAAAGATGAGGTGCCACCCCAGAGAAGGGTTGGTCTCAGGTCCTCTTCCTATAAGACTAGTCACAGACAACAAAAGGTGTGCCAGGTCATTCCTTCAGCTGACTGAGGGCATGCTTCATATTTCCTTCGAAACTGAATTTGGAGAACAACGCAATAAAAAGATCCGGGTCTTTCCACTCTGTTCCAGATCGGAGTTCTTATTTAATCCTATCAGGAAGACAAAGAGGAGACTACCAAATTAATCTTCAGTCAATCTGCCAAGGAGGGCAGTAGGGGAAGGGAGGAAGGGCCATCAATTTCCTGTTTGTAAAAGTCATGGAAAAACTGGATTCTTTGAAACACTCTTATTCTCACAGACGTGTGGGTATGGCACTAGAGATGAAGACTATGGCTGTATCCCATGCCCATCAGAAAAGTTTTCTAAAGGTGGATATCATATATGCCGGAGGCACAAGGATTGTGAAGGATTCTTTCGGGCTACGGTGATGACCCCTGGAGATCAAGAAAACGATGCTGAATGTGGGCCTTGTCTCCCTGGGTAAGGATTTAATTACAGCCTTAAAAAATAGCAAGACTGAATGACATACAGTAAGTGTATCTGTTTCATTCGTTCTGTGCACCCTCTATTTTTCTGCATTCAATTAAATCCATGATAGTTACCGGTATATGAATAATAAAGATGGTCCCAAAGATATGCGTTAAATCAAAGAAAGTAACAAGGCTATTAAAGCAAATGAAATAGCAACTGAAAGGTACACCTGAAAGGTACAACTCTGGGTCCAACCCAAAGAGATGAGTAGAGTAGCAATCTTTCCATTCTTCTCATTATAAACAAATGACTTTTTGCTTAGCGTTCATCATAATGTTGATACAAGTTTTGCTTCCTAAACGTGATAGACCAACAGTTGAAGCCTGATAGAAGGCATCATAAAGGCACGTAGAACTTGTTCCCTGATCCACATGAATGCATTGAGGTCTTGCCTTGATATAATTCCCACTAGCAAAAGAATGGATATACAGGATAAATCTTAAGTTTCTTCCCACCTTAATCTTCTAGAAAATCCAAACTGAGGATTGACAAATACATTTCTACATGTGCAGCCGTACACAGGATATTGCCAAAGCACCTATAAACTCATTGGGTGTTTATTTTAACTATCATGTTTGTCCTAATCATGTTAGACCTTAGATTTTTCTGTACCTAAGGATATTATTTTTGTGCCAGTTAGGGTTAGGATCTGCCTGGAAGATTACCTCTGCAAGAAATTTCTGGTGCATAAAATCTAATGTTAGAAACCTGAACTTTACTGCAAACTTAGTGTACAAATGTATGTCGGATTCGACTGTGAGATCAGTCTTGTCATGCATTTTCCAAGCTTGATTTAACTAATCTTATGAGGCTGCGGAGAAAAGACCTTTTCTAGTCAAGCAAGGAAAATAGACTGAACACTGAAACATTTAAAGTAGGGTGTTTATACAGTAATTCATTACTTTAACCATAGTTAATATCATAAACCCAGTTTTATTAGTTTTGCATTGTCTTGCCCCTTTTTTGCAGTTATTACATGTTAGAAAACAGGCCTCGGAATATTTATGGAATGGTTTGTTACTCGTGTTCACTGGCACCTCCAAACACAAAAGAATGTAAGTTGGTTTCCATTTCCTTCACCTTACTTTACATTTAATCTACATTTTGACATTTTGAAATGCTGTGATGTTATACATAGGGATCTGTTGACTGGGTAGCTTTTCGGGTTTTTCACAATTCTCTTTTGTAAGAATGCAGTTTTACATTTTCTGTTACAAAAATCAAAAGCTGAACAGCAGAAGACATCAGGTACAATGCAAAACTGCCTGCCTGCGTGCATATACACACTCACGCAAATGCACACACATCAAATCACATTATTTTCCAAAACCATATTTCTTTTGCCAAAACTGCATTAACAAACCTATGGATATTAAGTCCATAATCATATACGTTAGGGTCCCCTCCATCATTTTATAATTCCTGCATAATGAAGTAGATAGCCATCCTTTTGGGGTGGGTGGGTATATTCATCTCATTTGAAGAAAGAAAGAATCATACTTAATTTTTTAAAATGTACCTTAACCATTGTTTTATTAAAATAAGGTATTCCAATGGTCTGTTTGAAAGTTCTTGCACACAATAATATTCACTTTAATAATACTCTTTAATGGTCTATAAAAATGCTGTTGATTTGCAATGCCCAAAACCCATATCAATGCTGAGAGTAATTCAGAAGGAATTAGTCTTGTCTGCCTACCTGGAGCTGCTAACCCAAGTTCAGTGGTAATCAATTACAGTCCCAATATCTTTTTTCACTAGAGAGTTGCCAAATACATTTGGTCTCCCAACTGTAATCCTGGGCATCTGATTTGAACTAAATACAGAAAAATAAACTGGCATGGGATGTGATCTGGCTTGCCAGGAGTATGTGGGTAAAAACATAGCAATACGTAAGCAAATAAACAGATTGAAGATATCTAACTAGCAGTGGAACGTTGTAAAACTTCTTATTTTATGGATCTCCGTTAAATCTCCAACTTTGGATGCAAAGAACAAAACCTGAATTCAAATCAGTCCAAACGGTGTCTGCATTTTTACATAATTTATATACATTTCTGTAATTTATGCTACAATTATGTAAAATAATGTAGTGAATGATGGAAAACGTACAGACATTATGTGAACTTGGATATAATGGGACCAACTTTTATTGTATATGAAAAAGATTGTAAATGGTACATCAGTTAACTGTCCTCACCAGACAGGGAGGATAAGGATTTAATGACTAAAAATGTCCTGAAATAACTTGTAACAATTTTTTTTTTAAAGGTGTATGCGTGTGGTGGGGAGGGGGTGGGGGACAAATATATCAACTTTGCCAGGGAGAGACTAAGTAAAAAATGTCAGGGAGCTAGCTCCAGATTCACTGGACCATCAATTTAATTCACAGCAATAAATGTCAGCACAAAGTCACATTACAGATAGTGAATTCAGGCACTGCTGAAACGGGCCAGTTAAATAAAACCAGTCTATTAACATTGCATGAATACTATTTGGATTTCAAATGAGCATCCTTAAAAATTAAAGGTATACTATATTTCACAGCTAGTACTGCTTGGAAAATACCTCCTACTGTTCTAGGAAAAATTCATTCAAAATCATGGGTACTCTGTTCGGCAAATTAAAATGGATGTCACTTTCTAAAATATTTTACATAGTATAGTATATAAACTTTTATTTAATACTACATTTTATTAAAAGCCTGTGCATTACTTCACCTCTTAAGTTGCGAGACATTTATCTCATTCTATTAGAGAACTGAATTTCCTGTCCCATTTGTTTGGCGTGTCTGGGATAAGAAAAAATTCATATTCCAAAACTGCAGAATGGTAGCAATGTTTTCACTGTGGAATAGTGAATTTTTCTATCCCATATGTCCCTATGCTAACTTTTTCTTTTGTAAGGGACTGAAGTGCAATAAAAATAATAAATTATTTATATACTACATACAACAATATGCTTTTTTCCTTTTTGCTTGGACGTGATGCAACTCAGATATTCCCATACCATTTTTCCCTCCAGCACTGATATATGATTATCAATATATAGGATATACGAAAAGCTGCAGCGCATCATGACTTATGTTCCCTCTAAGGTGCACTGGGCATGCACGCACACTACTGTACTTGTCAGACCTGTGTACATGATATAAAGTTGAGTGCACACAAAATTAAGTTACCCCACAATAAGAATAGTACATTTAGGCGCCATAATGCTCCAGGCTTGTGAGTTGTGAATCAGGAGGAGCCCTGCAGAAGCTCCCCGCCTCGGCTTAACCACAGCAGCGAGGGTGACTTGGTGCTGCTACAGCGCGGACTGAGTGGGAGCTCCTGGAAGAGGTGCCTTTTGTGCCAGATAGCAGACAGATGGCCCTCTCCTGGCCTTGCAGCTGCGGCCAACCTGCTCTGGATCGGGCCCAGCCAGAAACACAACAGGTGCAACCCCAGACCCGCCTGTGCATGAAGACGCGCCTCCCTCCAAAAAAGATTTAATCAATACCTGTTGAGTTTCAGGCCACCCAAGCTCTGTGATTTAAAAATTTTCAATTGATAATAATTAAAGTTTAAATAAGTTCAGAATACATCCTGAGAGGAAGGAAAGAAAAGGGGGCAGGGGAGCATGAAAGAGAGGAGGCTTTATACATGCTTTTTATACAATGCTATCCTTTTTTTCCCTGAATTTTCATTTCATTCCAATATCAAATTCCACAAAAAAGAAAAGAAACCGTTTTAAATGCTTAAAAAATATGGATTGCAACGATCAGTTATCAGTGACTAGCGAGTTTACATTATAATCTGTAAGGATGTATAAATAAAGCCAATTTGGGGCACTATAGCAGTTAAGGTATCAGGCTAGGATCCATGTGAGCATATGACATTATTGTTATCCATGTGAGCATTATCCATGTGAGCATATGACATTATTGTTATCCATGTGAGCATTATCCATGTGAGCATATGACATTATTGTTCAAAGGAAGCAAGTTGCACCATTTGCACCATTTGTCCAATAACACTATGCCATGTATGAGGTCCCTTTCTCCTCTGGTCTCCCCCTTGCAGCTTTTCCCACAGATGCCCAGGCCTGTTTTGTTAAGGAAAAGTACCTTCTTTTGTAGAAATGTCATTCTAAAAAGACAAATTAAATATGGAGGTTTAAAATGTTTGTATTTCTCTAATCTTTCTTTCCTTTTGATCTGGTTGTTTTGGTTCTCCAACAGCCACATTACAACAATTGAAAAAACAAACCCAAATTTTGTTATGGCAAAATTTTTTGTAGACCACACTCTACTTCATCCAGTGCATAGAGGATAATACTGAAAATACCCCTCTTTCAGCATAAAATACAGAGCTGATGTAATAGATCATAGCGTAAGAAAATGTATATTATGATATATATTTTTAGTTCTCCTTTAATGGCATTTCTCCTTTAATACAATCAATAACTGACTTCTGAAAAAATGTTTGGGATCATAAATCTGCCTCTCTGCTTCAGGTAAAAATGGGCGAATCTCTACATTCAGACACAAAATGTGCCAAGTCCTTATTTCACACCTTGGTGGGATAAATCTGCTCCTATAAAACCATCTTTTAAATGGACAGGAAATTCAAATAATTGGTCTCTGTTCACACACACACACACACACAGAAGCAGTTCAAAGTTGAGATTTTGCACGTAACCAGCAAAACGTGTGGCAAATTTGTTTCTTATTACAGGCGCAGGCATTACTTCTGGTGCATCAGCCAGTTTCCCGAGCACTTCTGGCACAAGCACTCATTCTCCTTTTCAACCTGTGCACAAAGGTAAGAGAAGCAGCTCCTGATTTAATTTTTCCTTGTAGCTAATAGCAGGGTTCAGACCCATAGTAGCCTTGGTAACGGTGGTGGAGGGAAATTTGGCAGATGCAATGACGCAACTAGGAAAGACGGAGGGAATGATTAGGCCCCATTACGCATCCAGAGCTCTCTCTTGATCGACAGATTGCAATTGTAAAAGGACAGGCTGTAAAAGGACTGTAATCAACAGTCCTTCACAATGACTTCTTTTCTCAGTTTTGAGGAATCCTCAAAATTATCTTCAGCAATCAGTCTACTTCAGTAAAGATGAATTATATGATTTCAGTTTGCAAATGGGATGCACGTATTCAGGCAAGTTAATTTAGTTGCTTTATCTCCTCAGGTGTAACTGACTTGGAAAGTAGAAATGTAATGGAATGTAGTCAAATGAACCACCTTTTGGCTTCTCCCCCACCAGATCCCTTCTTAGGAGACATATATATGGAAATTACATCCAGCCCAGTAATTGGAGTGTGTGGGTTATGAAGTCACCCTTTTCTTCTGATCCCAAGAATAATAATGATTATTCTGATCATTATAATGTGTGAAGAATGCCCAACAATTTCATTAGTTAATTGCAGAGAGGGAACATGCTGCACCTCCATGAAAATAATTTACCAGGCATTAGTGAGCCTTCTGTGGCCTCTTACACATGAACAGGGAACACCCACATTCAATATGTCTCAGTTTACATATATAAAAATTGGGGATCTTCCTAAATTGTGGCAACTGTACCTTCTTTGGCCATGTGAAGCTTTATCCAGAAATGTTTGGAGTCAGCAACATGTTTCAAACTAGCACAAAACAAAAATCAACAAGTTGTGGAAAAATAGATTGAGATGCCTGCATGGCACAGCAGGGTTATTCAAGGGATAACTTGTTAAAGCTCAAATAAGAACCAAAAGAATCCATTCAGAAGAATCAAGGAACCTCATGGCAGATCCATTTCTATTGATACTGCAAGTCTTACCTTTAGGCAAGAATTGTAAACAAAAATAGATGCTAGCTGCAGAAGAATTTCAACTCTAGCTCCCACTTAGTTTTGATGGCTTTTCATGGCTAACACTCAAAAGGCTGAATAGGCAAACCTGAATAGTCCGGGGGCTGCTATAAAATGTCCACATTCCACAGTGAACGTCATGTTCTGAGATGGGTCTTGACTATTGAGGATAGAGCATCCAAGACGACATTTTCTCTTATTGTTGAGGGATTGTTTCTGAATGAGCAATACACATGCAGAGAACGATGCTCTGTGGCGAATGGACAGTGAGAGAGTGATTGAGAGAGTGAAGGTTCGATTGCAATCTGAAATGTAGAGGTTTATAAAGACCACTCCTTTATTCTGCTGCAAGCAAAGAACAATTCAGGTGAATTAAAATACAGCATTGCAACAAAATCCTAGGTATAGTTACTGTATATTATTAAAATGACATCAGCTCTACAGGCTAGAAATGTAAAAGACTGACTGCTAGAAGAAAAGGGTTTGACCAAGGAGACCAGGAGCCTGTTCTCCCAACTCTAGTCATTAGCAGTAGGCATGTTGGAGTGCTTGTGCAGAAACAATACAGTCCTTCACGCAGGTTTAGTTATTCGTCTTTGCTGTAGACACATATCTATTTTGTATTGGATTGCCTTTACTTTGTGCTGATTGCATTCCATAAAAACGTGATATGACTCCATTGAAGCACTTCTATTAAAGGAGCTGCGCTCCCCAAAGCTGAGAAGGGATGTTCATCTTCTCCCTGGACATCTTTAGAACCTGCTCTGGCAGACTGGGAGCCTTCTTAAATCAATTTTTGGGAAATTGGAGGGGAGGGTGGAGAATTACACTTCTCTTCATTTTCACTAGGGAAGTTTACCCTTTTTATTGCGTTTAGTTTGATTATATTACTCTCAATTAATTGGTTAAGAGTACAATCATATAAATGTACATTCAGACAAATCCTCTGAGTTCACTTTCATTTATTCTCAAGAAATTGTAAATTATAGAGGTGAGCAATCTACAACCTCTAAGGTGTTTTCAACCTTTGATTGTATTTTTTATGGCCCCATTTTTGGCACATACAAAATTAAGACTTTTTACATAAATCTGAAGAAAATAATTCCCCGGTATCTCATACCCTCCCACTAGGATGATATCACTATGCTACTGCTGTGTGCCCTACAGTCCTTCATTAAGTGAAATAATATTAATTTTTAAAGCATTATTACCAATAGGTTGCCAATTCTTTGTTTATAGGATTGCAATCTTAGCAGATTAAAAAGTAACCTCCATTGAACCAGTTAGCAGATTTTTTTTTTAATTATTGTTGCTTATTGCTTAACCAAAGCTGGCAAAGCACCATCAGAAACAATTCTTTACCTTCTTCTAGCATCCAGAATGGCACCCTGGTTTAAGATGGTACTGGGATTGCCTGTGTGACAACAACAACACAGTGGAAAGATGTTACCTGCTTTAGAAAGATTGGGTCGATCCTATATACATTTAATCCATAATTAAATTAAATAGAGGATGGTTAATCCTGAAAATGTCTCTAAATAGGTTCTCTCTCGCTCTCTCTCTCTCTCTCTCTCTCTTTGTGGTTCCAGGAGACCTTTCTGGACAAGGGCATCTGGCTACTGCTCTTATCATTGCCATGTCAACAATTTTCATAATGGCTGTTGCTATTGTCCTGATCATCATGTTTTACATTGTGAAAACTAAAACTTCAGCTCAAGGTAACTGCCAGTGAATCACAAGGATTCCAGTTTTGAAATCAGTGGGGCGCCCGGGAGGATCAACAAGGTGAGCGGACAGTCGTGGCAGCCGGATTGGAGCCCCGCCCCTTTTGTATGTGTAATGCAATGAAGGGGCGGGGCTTCGATCACACGGCTGTGTCTGCCATCTTGCCTTTGTCTGACCTCACCTGCTGATGCCGCCACTGTTCAAAATGTCTAGATAACTGCTGTGAGTTAATCTTAACAAGAGATGTATTCTGACCTTGCAGCCTGCTGCAGCAGCCATTCAGTGAAGACAGTAGAAGCCCAGGCCGACATGCAAGAAGAAAAAACGGAAGCTCAAGGTTGGGACTGTTTTGTCATTTCTGCTGTTTATACATCAATAACCACAGGGCTTAAATTGCCTCAGTGCAACTGTGTGAGCTCCAAATGTTAGCAGAAGAATAATTGGAAAGGCATCTAAACTAATGAAACTCCAGGTCTGCATTTGGTGATTTATGCATTTATATCTAGTTGGAGAAGCTCCAAAACAATTGTATTCACAATTCAAATGCTGGGTGCTTGTGTGTGTCTGGGTTTTTTTGGGGGGGGAGGGTTTGGCCACTTCATTCTTACAAATCCTTTTTCCATTGCAGAAAATGTGGTGATTTTCTCAGAGAAAGATGAATTTGGAAAACTGACAGCAACTCCAGCTAAGGTGGTCAAAAGGTATGTGATATCTAAACAGCATGCTGATAGCGGGGATGTAACATAGCAACAGTTGCAGTCTCTTGGAAAAAAAGATGTTTGTTCCTAAACTACTTAGAAATAAGCCCCATTGAATTCAGTGGGTTTTCCTTCTTGCTCAAGTGTTTTTACAATGGCAACATCATGGCTGGTAGAAGAAGAAGATAAGATGAAATAAATTAGTAATGGCAAAGTAATGAAGGATCAAACATTATTTAAGAGGGAACAGTTTTCCATTAATTGAACTCTTTAAAATTAAAACTATAAACAAGTAATGCTGCTCACGTGCATATATGGTTCAGTCCCCATTAAATTAAATGTGAGCATTGGATCTATACGTACAGAGAATTCATTCACGGATATTCAGTGGAATATTCACCAGGGCTGGACTTGGGCATATGGTTGTCACAAGTCCCGTTGGAACTGGAAGTGCACAGAACACTACAGTCCTATACTGCTGAAGAAAACCAGAGTTGCTGGTGAATAAATATATTGCTAGACATTAATTTGTTTACAGATACGAGTGAAGAGTGTTAATGCTTTGCCCGTTTTTTTGCAGCATTTACTTATCCCCAATCTAATATTCATCATCTATATTAAGTAAACATTTAACAAGTATGCAATTTAAATCCAAAAAGACATATCTCAAATTCTGCACGGTACTGTTTTAGAAAAGTGATCCTGATTAGCATATTCATCGGTTGGTTTGTTGCTTTCCAGTGAAAACGATGCTTCTTCAGAGAATGAGAGGCTTTTAAGTCGCAGCATGGACAGCGATGAAGAAGCTGCTGTTGACAAGCAAGGAACTCCAGAATTGTGTTTGTTGTCCCTAGTACATTTGGCTCGGGATAAATCTTCAACAAACAACAAATCAACCGGGGTAAGCGAATTGTAAATTGTGTTGGAGCAGTGACCTTTTTGGTGATGTGTTACAGGAGTTAGTTGCAATTTTAACAGACAGTATCCAAACGAAGAATGAATGAAACAGCCTTTGTGATGTGCTGATGAGAAAAAGGCTGAAACCGGGAGGGGGGGGGATTAAGCTGTTTCTCTCAAGCTGCTAAAGGCTGCTCACAAGCTAAAAAGGCACCATTTTCACTAGTCTGTGTGCTTTTCCTTTGCACACCTGAATGCCTTCACCCCACTCCCCATCCTTTCCCAGATTATCTCCTTTGGCACTAACACAGACATTTTCTTTTCTTCCCATGTGGTATCATTGTAGCTCTGATGCCACATTAACATAAGCAATAGGGAACAGGTGGTTCTTTCACTCCTACCTTCCTCTGTAGGTCCATGAAAACTTTAAAGCAAGGGAAAATGGATAGTTCAGCTTTATAGGAACAAAGAAGTCATGTTCCTATGTTGCAACTTAAAGGTGTTTAAAAGATAAAGGAAAAGGAAGTTTTGCAGTAATGTGGCCACGGGGTGGGAAAGCTAAAGGAGCATGCTTCACCCAACCTGAGCAGAAACGGGAAGGGTGCACACAGGGAGATGTAAGGGTTAACCAGAACATGAACTTTTAAAGGGAGAAGATCATTGGCTTAACAGGGCATTGTTGGATCAACTGCAAGATTATAAAAAAAGGTGGAGAACTTAGCAGCCCAGTATGAAATGGCTTCATGGGGGCAGTGACTAGCTGCTGGAGGGGAGAGGCATGCCTGGCACTGATCAGAACAAAGTGCTAGAGATCATCTGTTCTGAAGAGCTTAAGGTGGCTCCAGTTGTAAAACAGCAGTTTTGAATCACAGCTGGGCCCGGGTACATTTGCAATGGCCTGGGAGTGGAAAGAGGATAACATCCCCTATTCTTGCGTGTAGGAAGGGATAAGTGGTCTGTACTGGTGATAGACCAACAAGAAAGTGCACATCTGTTCTACAACTAGTTTCTAGTATGTGCAAAATTTAAAAATTAAATATCAATGTTGCTCAAAAATAATAGGGATCCTAGGTCACCAAGTGCTACCGAAGAGAATTCCCAAGGATTGCAGAAGTGGAAAAAACTTTAAGGGAAAAGAAGACTAAGGGTGGGGAAACTGAGTTTTGAGAGAGAAAACTGGGGCAGGGGAGGAGCATGGGAAGAATAAATGTCTGAAATGCTACAGTCATCTATTTCTCCATTGGAAAAAGTAAACGTTAGAACACATTGAGTCCAATAACCCAATGAGAGAAGAGCTGAGGGTGACCTTTCTCCCATCTTGCCTTAGCCAACCACCCTCTTCCCTCCATGTTTGGGATGCCTTAGTTTTATTTCTGGCAGCAGCTCTGGAATGGGCAAGATGGGCGGTGACAAATTTGATACATAAACAAAATATAAATAAATAAATTTCATGAGATGATGATCTTACATATGTACAACTTCAGCCTGACATTGCTGGGAAACCTACATTGGAAAAAGACCTCCTGTCATAAATGGTTAAAAGTGTGCGCTTTTCAGGAGTTGCCGGGTGTCAACTGTCTACTGTAGATGTGTGCTGGTTAGATGTTGCAGGACCTTTATGAGAGAAGCTACAGATTAAGGTTTAGGCTAAAGATGTCATCCTTCTGCAGCTTTCTCTGAATGAAGTTATTTGAAAATTAGATTTTCTTTTAACAACATATTCCATGGCAAAGCAGGTTCTCTATGACATCAGTAACTCAGGAAAGCTAAGGGAGCATGCTTCACCTAGCCTGAGCAGAAACTGAAAGGGTGCCCACAGGGAGATGTAAGGGTTGACCAGAACATGAACTTTTAAAGGGAGAATAATAGAAGAGAATATATGTAGCTCAGCATTGAATGGTGGAGTCTCCAATGGTGCTCTCCAAGCTTGCTCATTTGCTTGCTTTCATTACCTGACTAGGTAACATCATCAGTGTGAGTGAGTGAGTGTGGGGTTTGCTCCCTGTTTATATACAGTAGCTTGCCCTGCCAGTGTTGGTGGGGGTGTGGTTTTCTCCTTGATAATTCCTTGATTAGGGTGTTGTTTTCTGCTTGATTGTTTGTTAATCCCTGCTTATCTGGGTGTTGGCTGCTGGAGAGGATGTGTTCTGGTCTTTGTGTTTCCTTCTTAGCTTTTTAATTATCTCTTTTGAATGGCATGTAAATGTGGTTTATCTTTATGTGTCTATTGATGGCTGTTTTGTCTGAATGCCAAGCTTCCAGGAATTCCCTAGGGTTTATGTATTTATCTTGGTCTAGGATGCTCACAGTTTCCCAGTTGAAACTACGGTTGAGTCTGTCCATATGATGTGAGAGTAAGGAGTTTTTATCATGTCTTCTGACTGCTAGTTGGTGTTCATGGATGCGCTGTGCCAGCCTTCTACCTGTCTGTCCTACATAGTGTTTG